TTTTCACAGCTAATATAATTTCAAGTAAGAATAAAGATAAAAGAGAGAGACACGCAAACTTTAACGAGGTTCGAAGGTGGGGTAATCCTTCTACGTCCTCAAAATCCACTATGTAGTTGGTTGTTGAATAATGAACCAACAATTACACTTGTGTGAATTTCTGCACGGTATATCTTCGCAAGGCCAATGTTGCTACTGCACTCGTGCTGGCTTTGTTGTTCCTTCGAAGGTCACGCTTCTTCAACAACTGCAACGTCCGAACAATAGGACTTGCAAGATCAACTTGTAAGAAAGTTGACCTACCCCCTTTCAATCAAGAAGTTTGATCAAAAGTTGTATCCTTCAACGTGGTGTGGTACTTGAGGCAAGGAAACCTTCAAGTGTTTACACTATAGCTCTTTGGAAAGAGGAGAAGTTTGCTTCTGGATAAGGAGTTTAGAAATCTCTCTTTATCAAGCTTTTTGGGCTAACTGTGAATGAGATAGCTTTGTTGTTAGAGATTGCTTTGTTGTCTATTCATTCATTCATATCTTCTCCAGTCTTCCAAGGGTGCTATTTATAGCTGGATTGGATAATCTATCCGTTGAATCATAATAGACTATCCGTTGCATTTATTGGCTTCAATTTTGAATGAAGATTGTGATTTGAAGATTCCTCATTGGAATGTGTGTTTGGACATACCCAATTGTTTGAGGAGGGATTCCTTTTTCCACAGAATCCATCTTCTAGCTGTTGTTCAAGAATTCAGAACTGTAGCACTTTACTCTGTTTGTCTTCTAGTGCTTGTTTAGGAATTCTGGACAGGCTCTTCATTTTTAGAGGTCCAGACTTTGTCTTCGAGTCATTTGTTCTTGAATCAGCATAATTATCTTCAATCTAGCCGTTGAAAATCAAGAGATTGATTTTTCCTTACCAACGGGTAGAATTTCTTCATTCAAGACTTAGATAATTTTTCTAAGTCTTTTCTCACTTGTCCGCTTTTTGAGAATTCTGATCTTCCTTGAGGCATCCGGTTCTTGGCTGACAAATCCTGAGGAGTCATTCTCAGTCTTCCGGGTGAGAAAAAGATTCGCGCTATTCTTCCGGCTTGGGTGACTTAGCCTTCAGCGGATTGTAGCGAGACATCCGGTTCTCATATAGTTTTCCGGATTTGAGGATTTACATCTGCTTTGAGAAATCCTTACTTGTCTCTGACATTTCCGATCAAGATATCCAATTTCCATATCACTGTCTTCAGGCATCAAAACGCTTAAAGAAATATCACAACTTTATTGGAA